TGAGGCTAGGAATTGATTTAGTTTTAAAAATACAATTTATTCCTTTTAACAATTTCCCAACAGTGTCATCAAAACACTATAAATTCCTTACATGTTTTAAAGAAAGATGATTCATTTATGTAAAGATTATTAAATGGGTAATTTTATTATTCAATTTTTAATACAAATTAACTGAAATTAGAAACTGATTTTGTAAAATAATTTAATTATGAATAATTCAATTTGGGGGCTATTGGATGTTTAAAAATGATCAAAAGATTTTTAATATCTTAAAAATAAAAGCAAAATTTTCAGTTTTAATATTTTGTATTAATAATTCATTTTAATTTCCTTGCTCAGTTTTAATATATTCACAAATTCAGATTTAAAAACAAAATAAGTTGTATAAATATTTTCAACATTTCTGATTTTTCCATAGTAACCATAGGAGAACGATTTGAGACTATCTGTGTAAAAAAAAGTAGGTTTTAGATCATCACACCTTCACATACTTTCACTGGAATTTTCCTCTGTATATATACTGGGATGTGACACTAAGCAGTTGAGAGTATGTATTTAAGAGGTTAAAGGGATATTGTAACTAGTGTTTCAAATCCTGATAACATCCCATACGCTGTCGGTGGGACGTAGATAGGATGTCCTAAGGATATACTGGGATGTGACATTAAGCGATCAGGAGGAAATTGGGATATTACGGGATGTCCTGAGGATGTAGTAAGTAGGACTTTAAATCCCAATAACATCCCATAGGCTGTTGATGGGACATAGATAGGATGTTTTTAGGATATAATGGGATGTGCTGAGGATATCCCGGGATGTGACATTAAGCACTCGGGAGGAGGTGTTTAGGAGGTTCGCGGGATGTCCTGAGGATGTGCGCATATCCCGCGAGCAATATCCTTGGGATATCCCAAGGATGTTTTTGTGCTATGTGGGAATATACTTTGTTTTTGCAGTGTTGTTATGTGTGGCTAAATTCCTGACATCCATAGCAACGTTTGGTGTTAAAGGTGCTTGGTAATTCCACGTGCCGATGTAGAGACGTGGTGACTGCAGTATGCTTTGGAAAGGCTGTTGGTTTGTTCTCCACAATCCATTTGACATTGCTGCCGCGATGTTTTAGCCGATATAAAACCTTTATTGAGTTCTTGCTGATGCTGTGCTCTGATTCTAGAGCACGTTCGAGGCCTTGTTGTTGAAGTGCTGGTAAGACGTCGTGAATTGCTATTCTTAGGAGCCAGACTGTTGGAGTTTTGGTGTTCACTAGAGACTTTCCGTTTTCGCTATTAGAGTGTTGACTAGCTTGGTTATGTCTTCTTTAGTATGACACTCAACTGCTATGCCACCTTTCTGGGTATGACGCACAGCTTGAACTTTGATTCCTATGTCTAATAATAAGCGGGAATTCCTCAGCAAGTTTTTCTTTAAGCCTATTGCTCTTGGTTTCTGTTTACGGGAGGATGAGAAGCGTTAAGGCTTGTTTTCTTGAGACTGTCACTGCTTGAGAATAGGTCTTTATGCTTTGAAACCGCGTGAATAGCGTAGCCGTAATGCTAGGTGCGTCGGTTTTTGTAGGCACTTTCTGAACCTGACTGATGTTGCCTGTCTTTGCGGCTGTTACAAGTCTTGCCAGTTTTTGTTTCAGGTCCACTAAAACGTCGCTAAGGAGGAAGGATCTGTTGCAACGCTTCCTGTGGTCACCTTGGAGACAGGCTTCATGGAGTTCCTCAATAAACGCGGAGTGTTCTGTTACCGAATTTGATGATGCTGTGGAGGTTGAAGCATCTTGTGATAGGCAGAGTGGTTTTGGTAGAGACCAGTTTCGAAAATATAATTATTCATTGAGCTACTTACAGGGCGTTTAAAATTCCGAGTGATTTAGCTTCGCAGTGATTTCATTGGAGATTACAGTGAGTCGAATATCAAGAGAAAACTTATTGATGTTAATGCTTATTAATGTTGACACAATCAAGACTGTAGGATGTTACGATGCATAATGATGACTATATATCTTGACTGTCACCATTACTCACTGGTGACACTAGTAACACTTATGCTGAATACTTTTTTAATGTATCACTGAATGCGAACCCAAATGATTCACTGATGACTATTAATTCATTGAAACTGATATTTCACTGACAAATTAATAAATAAATTAACACTACTAATGCTTACACGGAACATTAATATAACACAGAATTTGAACACAAATAATGCACTGTTGAAGGAGGATAACTAGTTTCACTTCAGAATTGGAACACAAAAAATTTGCTGTTGAAAGACTGCTGGTGATAACAGGAATTTTGCTGGCAATATTTCACTGATGATACCTTAAACTGCCTAACGCGAAAATCGCTTAAACTGGACTGTATTAATACACTGAACTGATGACTGACACTGATATTTCGCTGACGACACAAAAAATCACTTAAAACTTTTACGGAACATTAATATTACACAGAATTGGAACACAAAAAATTCGCTGTTGAAAGACTGCTGCTGATAACAGGAATTTTGCTGGCAATATTTCACTGATGATACCTTAAACTGCCTAAGGTGAATATTTCTTAAACTGGCTTCTATAAATACGTTGAACTTGATCACTGACACTGATTATACTTATATTACTTTATAATGTTACTTTATAATTTAACCAGTCTATTTTGGACTGGTAGTATTACTAAATCTTTTTCGCTATTCTTTCGATAACTGATCTAGTTTCAGGTTCTCACACAAGAAATTCATTATACTCGAATTTTGCAAATTTCTGTGAAGGCATCAAAATTGTGCAAGTTTGACGATTTGCATAAGTCTGTATTTTTTTCTTATATTCTTGGCAAGCATTCGGTCTACCATTGGAACTCTTCCTCTTTATTAGTCCGGTGTTTAAAATTAAGGTTACGAATACAAAGCATGGTATATCTCAAAAACTGTTCATTTATAGTAATGAAATTTTATTTGCAGATGTTCTTTATTATAAGAAAACCAATTGCAGCATAGCAAAATAAACAGGAGGTAAATGTTTTGCGATATGCAAATGAAAACAAAATTGGCAAAACACGAAACCTTATAGTTCTATAATAGTCCAGCCAAAGAGGAATATCATCACTTCGTAGTTTTACATGCCTCCCAACGCACCTCCATACTGAGAATGAGATGAACACAACTTGTGGAAACAAATCTCATTCTTTTTGTAACCGATTATTTAAATGCCTGGAGCGTGCTAACATCACACCACGACTCACCTAGAGCATGCCAAACTTGCTATATAGGCTTTAGGTCCAGCGACTTTGCCTTCCACCTTAATATGGTGAATATACTGTTCTTTAAGAAAATAATTAGCTGGTTGTGCTTTATTGCTTAGTGTATATTGTTTGTATCTTCTCCAATAACGTCTCGCAAACGCCTCACATAAACTTGAATAAATTAATAACGCTGCACGTTCACATCAGTATCCGCATCGAAAACATGCATTAATTTGCATCCATCTAATATAATACTTTACCACACAAGATTTCTATTATGTTGGAGGATTATAGTGGACCCTTACTCAATCGAGATAAAGACCAGTCAAGAATAAACAGATCTGTCGAGATAAAGACCCATCATTTGTATTGGATGACTCCCCACTAAAGGGAATATGGTTCAGTTTTGCAGTGTCTAAAAATTGCGTGCCTAGCTACACAAAAGACAGACTGTCTTCTGCGATAGGTTGAGAGGAAACATGGTGGTCTGACGTAAAGAGCTTGCTTTGCTTTATGTCTGTATACAATTGCATGGAATTTGTTAAGGACACAGCAACCAGATCAACAGAAAGCTGTTATCATTCTTTTGGTGTGGTACATTTAATGCCACTTATTTTCCTTCACGGGCATTGTGGCTCTTCTATAGCCTTGGCCTGATCGAGCGGTGTAATTACTCATAATTTCGAATTAGCTCTATGCCCTAAATACTAACATTCAAGACTATTTTACTACATCTGCCGAATCAAGACTATCTTACTACATCTGCTTGAGACTGCCGTGTTTTGAGCTTGCCGATGGCTCAGTAACGTTTGCGAGAATTAATTTAAATGAAACCAGTCGCACTTCAGATTTTTCTTGCAAGATTTCTTGTGCATTTCTTTACACAGTTCTATTAAAGAATTTCGTAGATTAAGAAACCGGTTATTTTTACGTCTTTTCCTTAATGCACTATCATAACCTTTTAACAAACTTTATGTGCTTACACTACATTTACCATTCCCAAATCGTAAATAATATAAGTTTTTAAAATGGTAATGTTAGCAATTCTGAATTATTGCGAAACATGCGCTAACCTTCTTACTCTAACTTAAGATAGCTTAATATTTGTACCTCAAATATTAAGCTATCTTAAGGATATAAATTCTTTTGATGTGGATCGCTAGACTTGGCAATTTTAGGAGCAGTTTGTGTGCAAGAATTTTGTTTCGGTATATTGTGAATTTCGTGACAATTTTTTAAAAATCATAACATTAAAAAGTAATTATAATATACTGAAATTATATTTTTTAAAAAGAATATTAATTTTTTTCCCTTCCCCCTTCTTGTTTTGAAATGTAATTTATATTTTATTGCATAATCTTTTGAAGTTATTGATAGCTACTCTGACTAGTTATAAATTTATTAACTAACCTTTCAATTTGGCAATTTTCTGAATATTTTGTTTTTGAAATTTAAACCAGATAATAAATGCTATAAAGAGTATAAATACTATAATGCTTTTGATAAATGTTGTTCAAACAACTACATTTATCAAAAGAAAAAAAGGCTACTATAAGTATGTTAAAATTCATTTGATTTATCCAGTTTTTGACCTTTTATTATTAATAGCTTTCCTTCTACAGTCGTTTCAAAATATTCCGATATGTGTCACTTTTCTTTTCAAAATTTATTCGTGCCTTTTTCGGGCATTTTTTTCAAAAAAAGTTTGGTGTTTATTATTATTTTTTTCTTTAAAAACGTTGGATGTTGTCAAGTACGCTAAATAAAATATAAACCTATTGTGTAATAACTTTATTACCTTAACTAGAGGGACCAGAATACAAATTGCGTAACTCCATTTGCTTTACAGTTAATTCCAAATGAAATTGTTTGCATGTAGATTAGAAAAAGGTGACTAATCCATAAATCCATTCCATAATTTCCCCGTAAGGTCCTATCTTAGACCTGTACTTCCAATTACCAAGTTTTTCAAAAGAAAACATATAATTTTATGAGAGCTTCTTCAGTACTGGAAGTGAGAATTCATCAACTAAACAAAATTTACCTTCTTATGTAGTTCGCATTGAGCAAAAATTGTAATTATTAGCATATTTATTTTGCTTTGTTTAGTTAAATGCAAAACATTCACACACAAAATTCGCAATAACATTTTTTCGGGAACTATGAGTTTAATAACTGGTGTTTTATCCAGTACTGAAACTATAATTACTAAAAAGAGCAATTTCTGTTTTCCAGTTGTTTCCTTTTTTGAGTAACATTTCATTTTGGTATAAAATGTGACGTATTTCTAATATCTCTACGTAATTTTAGTGTGTATGGGTCATTTGATATTTGACTAACTAGACTAACATTTTATATTTGATTATATTTGACTAACTAGTAATATTTTGCTAACTAGAATTTTTTGCTCTCAAGGACTTATAAAGACCTGATTTTATGTTTACAGAACCTTCGAGCCTACAATTTTAGCATTGTTTTCCTGATATTCCCTACCTTTTTTTGAGAAACTTTGTAAACGGAAGTGTATATTTAGATTCAATATTTAGGAATGTAAATATTTCCTCTTTTTTTTTTTCAAGCACCTTGTACGTGTAATAAGCTTAAAACTTTCGTAAATAAGTTATCTTCAAACTTCGTGGGTTGACTGATTGTTGACTGAAATTTTGATGAAATATGTTTCAGGTTTCTAAAAAAAATAAAGATCTTTTGTACCGCACTGTGTCAAAGATCCTAAGTGTAACTGTTTATATTTTATTTCATATCAATACAATTTTTTCACAATTTGCTATGGGAAGTCTACTTCTCCATTTTGTAGTTGAAAATGGAACCAATGGAAATAGACTTTGTATATAATATACACTTTGGCTGAGTATTACTCTCTCCTTTCAGTCATTTTATCTGTAACAAGTTTTGTAAATCATGGTTTTACATCGAATCATGGTTTTTTTAACCATGATTCGATGGTGAACAAATTTCATTCATGATTCGTGAACAAATTTCATTCATTCAAAAACATGATTCGATTCGATGGTGAATCGAATCATGGTTTTTTTAACCATGATTCGATGATTATGACTTCTGGAGTCCCTCATTATTTAGACTATTAATGCTCTCTTTATAACTGTTACACTCAAATGTTGCCAACTTCATATCGTGCAATTTCTTTTCTAAAAGACCTATATTGTTGACATATCGATCTTTCAATTTGTCAGTGTCTCGTAGAACTATTTTTAGTTTTTCAATTTCTTTATCTTTCTGGGACAGCAGAGATACCAAATGTATGCATGTTCCAGCCTTCTCATTTAAAGCTTCCTCAATTAGCTTAGTCTTTCTCTCAGCATCAGTCAGAGAATTTTGTAACTTCATGTTATCTTTCTTCAGTTGTTCCAAATGCAATTCATGAGCACGATATTGAGATGTAAGTTCTTTCAATCTTCGCTTTAAATTTCCATTTTCTGCTGTAAATTTTTTGAGAAGTGTGGCATTCGAATTACATTTACTATTTTCGGAATAGTCCGTGTCTTGTTCGTGTTTCAGTTCAATTATTCTACTTTCAACCGACTTCTGCTTAACTGCAACCAAAAGCTCTTCGACGTATTTATCTTTATTGGCCAATTCCTCTTCCAGTTCAAATATTTGTAATTTATTGCTTTCAATCTCAGCTATGAGCTTTTCTTTTTCTTTTTCCTCCATCTTATGAATAGACTGCAATTCTTCAAAACGCTTAAGCTCAGCAATATTTTGTTGAATAACTTCATCTTTAGCAATTATCAAGGATTTGAACTCGTTAATTGATTCCTTATAGTACTCGTTATCCTTCTTTAAAATTTCTGATTCTAACGCGTTCTCCTCCAGCAATTTCTTATACTTTATTAATTCATCTTCCAGTATTCGTTTTTCTGATTTCCACTCTTCTTGTATTTTTTCAATACTGGAATCATTTCTAAAACTAATTTTTGTTTGAGTGCTTTTCTCTTGTCCTGGGTTTTTGCTTCCTTTCCTTGGTATCTCATCGTTCGAGTGAAGTCGTTCTTTCGCACTTTTCAATTCTAGTCTTTTCCAAGCTTTTTCCAACTCATTCTTCAGTGTGTCTATGATATTTTTGTCTTCTTCTGAGAGCCTTATAGCAGCCTTGACCTTTGATTCATTTTCCATTAGCTGCGATTGCAATAAGCTGCACTTCTTTGACCATTTTCTTTCTCTTTCACATACTTGCGCTATATACTTCTGGACTTCTTCTAAAGTCTTGTGATGTTTCGCCACTGCTGAATCTTTCATTAGGGATTTTATTGAATTCAAATAATATTTATCAAGCAAATGGGTGTCTTCAATGTTGTTTTCTGAAGGGCTTATATGAGACTTCCTTTTTTCTGCGGGTTCCATCATTTATATCCCAGAAGAGCTGGATAGCTTTTTGTAAATTCGTAAACTGTCTTACTGAAAACAAATTCAAAAGAAAATCATATAAATTTATGCTTTTGTTTAGCAAAATGTAGGAAAAGAAAAACTGGATGTGTTCAAACAATGCTATAAATGTTAGGAATGCAATATATATCTGAATATTGGATGCCGAATGTTCAGTTTAATTTTAAATCAGATTTTCGGCTATCCGGGAGATGGATGTGAAGATTAATTACATTTACTCAGGACTTTCAAAGAAATAACTAAAGTACACCAAAATGAATAGTTTTAGTAATCATTATAATGTTAACATAGTTGAACTCTTGTACCGAACTTCAGGGACTGGCAGCTTTGCTCGGTATAGCCGGTGGTTCCTATTCGATGAGAAAAATAGACTATCTCACAAAAAGTGTAATGGTTTTTATCCTTCCATCGAATTACACGCTTATATCTATGAATACTTATTTTATCCACAAAAATATAAAAAACACCAAAAAGACTAACAAGAAAAATTCACGAATTTATCTGAACTTTTACTTTGTAGAGTCATTAGCTTATTTTGAAATAGAAGACGTGAAAAATGTGAAATGCCCTCGCTGGGACTCTAAGCTCTCGAATACGCGCCTAGTATGCTAACCGTTACGCCATGAAGGCATGCAGAAAGGAAGGACAAAATTCCTTATTTAACTCTCGAGTAACAATATAATCTGTAATCTGTTGGCTTGTTGCAGATGACAAAAACATTTTACCCAGATCCATGGGCGTAGCCAGGATCGGGGCTAGGGGGTGCGAAGGATCTTAGACCAAGAAAACGAAACTATGATATGACACGAATTTATTAGTGGTAGAGTAGCTAAAATTGCTGAGCACCAGTTATTAGATCTGAAAGCGAATTAATTGGTTGGCTGCATGAGTGTTTTTATGGGTTTTTTTTTTCTCATTATAAATTGAATTCGAGCCATTTTACCTCAGAAAATTCTCCTCTAAGACAGCTTTCCTTCAGGATAGCACTCACATGCTTTGCTACAGTCGAATAAACGAGCAAATAAATAACGGAACTGGAATACACGAGTTTAAACAGATCGTTCAAATATGGGAGACAGGAAAAGAGAATTCTGAACATTGTCTACCTGGTCTTTAATTTATATTACAACATTTTTCTACTATCTGAAATAAATCGTTCTAAAAGTTTTCTATTTCTATTCTTGTTTCTTGAACAAGCTTTCGATGCACACTTAACATATACAGACCACTTAAGTAATTCTCTGTCATTGTAGAGCGCAACCAAGTGTTTACTCAGGGTATTAAATGATAGCTCAATAGTACACGTAGTATATGGTTGAGACAAAGATATAAGAAGAGCACGTTTCGTTTCTGGAAAAAACATTGTCGCTTTTCTTTATCAAATCTTCCATAGTTAATTCCTTCATGCTGTCGATCTCCAGTCTCTTCGTTTTCCAGAAATTATACCAGAGTTCTCTCTCACTGTCAAAATTATTCACATTTTAAAAATCGCGAAAGCACTCTGCGTTTTTGGTAAAGTCTTCCACTGGTATCTTTAGCATAGCCACAGAATCTAATAGCAACAAAGAAAATGCGGGTAAATTATTGCTGGAAAATCTTCTTTCCAGTCATAGTGGGATTATAAGAGACTTTTTCCAGGATTCATCGGTTGTAGATGCTGGAGGATTTGAACGATGTTTTTGCAGCTTTACAATTCTCGTTGCTTGCAATTCAGTGCCCGTGCTCTCAGAAATAGCACTTAAGAAAGTCATAATTTTCTGGCATAAAACATCTGTTAAACATAAACAACATAAAACATCTACGATGTTCTTTTACAAGCATAATTATTCTGTTTATGTGGTCTGCACATTGTAGCACATTTAAATGTTTGGACTGTAAAATATTAGCCACTTCTAGCACAGCCGCACCCAGGAACAAGTCCAACATTTACAGATCCTTTTCTAGAAAATTCTTTGCAGCGATTGCTGATGCTTTGTGCCATTGATTTAAAAAGTGATTTTTACAAGCTTCATGCAAGACATGATAACGCGTGAATGGCTTAATAATGAAGGAGCCCTAAACACCTTTCACTGATACAGAAGCAGGAGGGAAAATAACATCAGTACAAGCATAATGCTCCTTTTATACTTTTTGAGTATGCGAGCCAAGAAGCAAAAGTCTTTAGCCACTCACGGTCTAAACTTTCTTCTCGAATGGATAGCATCTGCTGCAAAATCATAATTTTCATTAGGTGTCCAACAACATTTTAATATTTCTATCTTTAGATGTGTGGCCATTCATGGCGATCTTTTCAAATCATCCTACCCATCTTTTCAAATCATGGATGCAACCTTAAAGAATAATGTACGAAACAGACTTATAGAAAGGCCAAAATGCTCAAATAAGAACAAATAGAAAAATTAGATAATTAATATTATTTTTAGTTTGAGGTATGTAATTTCTATTTTTATGAAAAAAAAGATATTGAAAGAAAAAGGATCTTAGCTATTAGAAATTTTGTTTTCAATATTCATGTTACATGAATTAACTAATGGATTTTAATAATTTTCAAAATTTTTGGTTGGGGAAAGTTAACAAAGTTTAATATAGCATTAGCTATCGATTTAAGATATTGTGAAATCGTTTAATATTCATTTTCAGAATAGAATAGCTTCAAATATTGACTTTGATTATACATTATACAGTTATGAAAAGCTTGTGTTGTCACCTCTGCTTGCCTTCGGGGTGTAAGGTGCCGTTCATACTAGCGTTTACCTGAGCAAACGGGAGACATCTGTGTAGCCGACACTGCTCTAAGGTGAAGAAAGGGCTAGTTTTTAGGTTAGGACAAAAAAGCCAGTTGAAAAATCTAAACTTCACGTATAGCGGAGCTATTCGATACATGGAACTAACTCCGTTATCTCACAGAAAACCCAAACGTTAACGGCTCTTAAGTGGTAATAAGGGCAATTAGCAATCGGAAGATCCAGAGTTCGAATCCCAGCAAGGGCAAGTGTTGACTCTCCCCACAAGTGACTAGTAGTTCTACAGTAGTGTCCGACGGAAAAGCTGCATTTCTGTGCATGACGTTGAGAAAGATGTCGGAAGAAACTGGTTTGCTTTTCTTTTCAATTATGGATTACTTCTTGCTTTTCTAAGGTGCGTTCTTTTGTGCTGCCTTTAGTGTTTTGCGCTTGGATTACCATGGAAACGTCGAATAGTGCGGCGAATATTTCTCCCTCAGAGGAAAATTTTCCCCCGCTTTGTGCTACACCGGCCGATAACGGCGAAGATGCTAAGCCTACCTCGTGGTCCGATGTGATGGATAAGAATGATAAAATGGATACGGAAACGGAATCTGAGGAAAATGTGTTATCAGAAAATGAATCCCTGGAATTTTCTCTGAAATGTCAACCGATTAACTAGCCGGAACCCCCTTAACTAGCCGGAACTCCGTTCTCTCTATTGATAATAAGCTGCTCATTTACAAAACCCTTTTGCGTCCCATACTCTCTTATGCCTGCCCTGTCTGGGGATATACCAGCCATACCAATATTAATAAACTGCAAGTCTTGCAGAATGTTACGCTTCGACAATTATCCAGAAGCCGTTGGTTTATAAGAAATACGGCCATTCATGAGGAGTTGGAAATTCCAACTATCTCAAATTACTTCGCACTCCTTGAAGAAAAATTTTTCCAAAATATTCCTAATGTTAACAATAGTTCAATTACTGTGCCTCACTAAGATTACTCACTTGATATTAATAGCAAGCGGCCGCTTGCGATACTAAGATATCTAAATTAATTTCAATTTTTTATAACCTACTTATGTAAACACTCTCCCTTACTTGATGCTTTGTTTTGTTTTTATTTGATTACTTTTGATATGATTTGATTTGTACTGACTCGCTGCCTGACTTAATTTCTGTATATAGTGTACATATTTCCTACTTTATGTCTTATGTATTTTTTCCTTATTATGTATTATTTAATTACCTATGGAATGTTATGTATTTATGTTTACTCAACTGTACTATGATGAGTGGTCACACGGACTCTTATTCAGACTAGTGATAGGCAATTTCTTTTTTACTACGCCATTGCACACTTACCTCTGTCTAAGGCATATCAGCTACTGGTGTTTCTTCAAGACTCATATCATCGGTTCTTGTACGAACTCATAGTGCTCGAATTTTCTATCCAACTGCTCGATGATTAAAGAATCGAAAATCGCACACATCTTATCCCGGGATAGCGTTGTCACGCGGGAACCCACTTTGCGAAAACTCATCGAGTTTGCCTGAGCCGACGGAAAAGCTGGTGAACGATAATCCACCATCACATGGATTTGGCCAACTGGGTCTCGTTATCCTTTCCCTAGTCGCCTTTTAAATGGGAAAGAGTATAAGGATTTTTGCCTTTCCCATTGGGTGCTTTCATAGTGTAGATGGTAACACGTTCAGCTAGCTGTAGGAAGTTCGGTAATTTGAATCTTGCTTAAAACACAGGCGATTTTTCACGTTTCTCGCTTCGAAAAGCTTTCCTGTTTGATTCTACATTATTTCGACTTAATGCTGAAAATAATGACATAAAAAGTGCGAGTAATTTTGACTATTGTTATAATGAATATAAAAGGCATTAATAATAAAAATGAGTTATACAATTAAATAAGCTTACTTTAATGTAATTTTATAATTTTCAAGTATTTTATTTTGGCAAAAATTCTCATTGTCAGAAATTCAAGGACACGCAACGGTATAAAATGTTAATAATTGATTTAAAATAACCTCACAAATATTTTTATAATTATAAGTATTTATTTTATATAATTATAGTAGCTTGCGTATTATTGTATTATCTTTTTCGGCAACAGTTTTTATGTTGGAATTCTTTTAACCAAATTAAAAAAATAAAAAATAAAGTTGAAAAATAAAGGATTTCGCCTTGATATGTATGAATTGTATAGTTCAATGTTCAATCGAATACCGTTAAGGTAGTGTAACGTCGTCAGCTATTTTCCCACGGACTCCCACGAAGTCTGGGAAAAGGAGACTTCAAATGGGCGCCAGATGACCACCCCTGATGACACTTACGAATTCTTGAGGTCGAACGTGACCCCAAACAAAGTGCGGGAAAGCATATTGTTTTACGAAAAAGGAGGAAAACTTTCATACAAGTTCTCACGGGTTGTGGAGTGTCCATTGTGTGTATGCGATAGACTGTCGCCAACTGCCTGTTTCTCGAAATAATTTAGATAGACCTCCCAAAAAGACGTTCTGAATTTCCCACGGAAAATTTTAGTTCTCAGACTGTCAAGACAGTATCTGAGAACAAATCAGCACCTGTTAACCAATGGAGAGATGCTCCGAAAAAGACGTTTAGCGAATCACTGCAGCAGACGCACAAGACACGCCCAAGAAAACCTAGGACATAAAAACAGTGAGTGGAAAATAATTAGAGAGATTAGTCTGAAGAATACGTAGTCGTTGCGTAGAGAAGAGAGAGCCTTTCTCTTGTATTTTACGGCTCTGTCCAGAGTCGCTAGTAAGCTTTAGAGAGCCCTTTCTCTCTTGTGTTTTTTTATGACTTGTCCCGAGTCGCTACTAAGCTCTGTCAAGAGCGGGGGGAAAAAACTTCTCAAAGAAGCGTAGCCGGACTTTTTCTCCGCTACCTCTGTTTCGACTTTGTTTGAACTCAAGTGATTATCGTTTCCTATGTAAACGGACTATTTTGCTAAGCAAACTACTTTGTTATGATAAGCAGTTGAACTTACCTTAAAATTCAACTTGTGTAATTTAACACCTATCCTTCAGTAAAAAAAAAAAAAAAAAAAAAAATTATTTACGCTACCCAAAATAAAAATCTGACTGTTCTCAAATCGCTACAGTAGTAAATCTTTACCTACATTTTCCTTCATTATCTCAGCTGAAACCAACAGCTGATTACCCGAAGCGTTCGATTTGTTTAATTAATATGACTACGGAGAGCGAAATAGAAGCAACTATGTTAATGCACGCCGAAGCGAATAAAGTAAACATTAAAATTCCACCATATGTTCCAGAAAGGGTTAATCGTAATATATGGTATAACGTCGGAGGTTTATTTGCATCTCTAGTTTAATAGTTCCTTGTATCTCGGCAACATTCTGGGCTCTTTTATACTCCGTGCCCTTTTATTATCTCGGCTCATTCATACTCTTAGTCTGATACAGACTGATATCCTTAATAACTGAGAATATAAAGCGCTACTAACATATTGTTGTGAGAAAAGTAAGAATATTTTTTATCCGCTTGCAAAATTTCAAATTGAAATTATCCTTTCCTTCATGCCTGCATTCATGATATCAAGGTGTGTTCTGCTATTTCTCATTCTTTTATTGCTAACTATAATATTGTAAATATAGGTAATACATGCTTGCGATAAACGTATTGGGCGCGTCCATGTCTTGCCCCAGTTAGCTGCATATTACTAGCTTCAATGATGTTATAAAGAATTATGCTTGAATAAATGATCACCTCGCATCCAGCTTCATTATGTTTTCTACCTCATGATACTAAATTTCTCTTATTGCCTATGTAATTCGCTATTCCTAGCTTAAAAGTTTTAGATTATGTATTCCATGCTTTGATTCACATACATTTTTGTCTATGGAAGTTATTTTGATTATTCAATTAAAGGAATAACGGGGAATTATATTCAGATGTAAATACCATCTAATTTAAAACGATAGAAAAATGCTAAAAAATATCTTCATTTAATTCAGTTTGAAAGTAGTTTCGTTTTCAGATTCATAAAAACCATTCTTCCGTTTAAAGAGTTTAAATTTTCGCGGGGAATCATCGAAGGAATTCAAATCTAATTACAGTTTTAATTCTCCAGAAAGTCAACTGAAATGGATTTAAATCGTTTTTTATAGACCTGTATCTTTTTTTTATAATTATGTTTCGAATCACTCAGTTTATATATCATAGCTCAAGTAACGTATGATATACTACTGCATCATGATATAAATCATCTTTTAATGTCTTTCAATGCTTTTAAATCTAGACTAAAATACTAAAAATTTCAGAAGGATTAAAAAAAGACGGATGTGATTTTTTAGGTATATTTACAAATCACAGAATTTTAAAAACAATATTGTTTCAAAATTTTGCTCCTTTTACTCAGCTTGAAAAGTCATATAAATTCCAGTTTTATGTAACTAAATTCACTTGTATATTAACATTAAATTAAACAATTTTATCTTCTTATTTTAAGGAAATTAGATTATTATTATTATTATTATTATTAAAAGTAAAATATTTTGATCTAAAAAAAAACTCAGGTTTTAAAACCTATAATTTCTCTCTATAATTAAACAATAAGAGTCTCGTTTCTAAAGTAAAATACAGGCTCTAAGTTTAAAGATAAACTTAAGCTTAAAATAAAAATGTTTCAGACTTAAATGTTATACCTCAGCTGTCTCTTAAACTGGAATAACCTTGTATACATTTAATTGAAAAAACGCATTACATTTTATTTACCTTTGTTTCATTTCCACGCTTGAAACTATTTCAGTATGGGAATAACAGATAATTCTGCATTACGCGTTACTTTTTTAGACTAGCTGTTGTCATAGAAACAGCTATCACAATTTCGTATCATAAAGTGCATTTTATTGGTAGAAAATATAAAATATATTATATAAATTTTTATTAAACGCACAGTTTTTTCCTCGGAGGGGGAAGGATAAAATTTTTGTTCTTGTGGAAATCATCTTTCTTTACCATCTTGATTCTAAGAGATCGCCATTTTCAGCCTTTAATCACCTATTTCTGTTAATCCTTAAGCGAACTGATGGTTGCTGCATAAAGTATTGTTACATTTCGAACCACTGCACATTCGATATGTCGTGTATGTGCTATTTTTATAATTTTCAAATATTTTATATTGGCAAAAATTCTCATTGTCAGAAATTCAAAGACATGCAACGGCATAAAATGTTAATAATTAATTTAAAATAACCTCACAAATATTTTTTTTATAATTATAAGTATTTAGTTTGTATATTATTGTATTATCTTTTTTGGCAACAGTTTTTATGTTGGAATTCTCTTAATCGAATTTTAAAAAATATCAGTTTTACTACTAGAGTTAGAAAGGATTTGGTGTTGATATGTATGAATTGTATAGTTCACTCAAATACCGTTATAGTAGTAAATTTTTATCTACATCTTCCTACCTTATCTCAGCTGAAACCAACAACTGATTACCCGAAGCGTTCGATTTGTTTAATTAATGTGACTACGGAGAGCGAAATAGAAGCAACCACGTTAATGCACGCCAAAGCGAATAAAGCCGTGTTTCCACTGCTGCGTATGCGTTTCTCCAATCAACGAGCGAATTCACTTTAATTGACATCTGCAATCCGGTCGATGCGCGGTGACGGATGACGTACGGATAGAGTTCAACAATGTTCAACTTCTATCCGTATGTCTGCGGTCGCTGCTTTTTCGGATGGCACAGACTTTCCTTTCTCCATCGATGACGAATAGCTGATAGACTCACCACCACACCATTCGACCACGTTCGAGAACAAAATGGCGCTAGATTCGCATGGCACATTGAAGGCATGTTGATGCGCAGAGTACTTGTAGACACTTCCACCATAAACAACGGAAGTGTCGAAAGTACGACGTCGGACGTTTAGCTCAAACACGCTAAAAATGCTAAACGTAAGACTAGTTGCGCAGAGATATCTGCGCATCAACATGCCATGCGAATCTAGCGCCATTTTGTTCTCGAACGTGGTGGTATGGTGTGGTGGTGAGTATACCCAGGCAGCATGCATTCGTAAATTGCACGAGAAAAATACGTGCAATTTACGAATGGCCTTTCGTATAAAAAACGTTCAAGTTGAACGTAAAAATATCATAAAAAGTGTCCAGTGGCAATTACTAAATATTTACGTATATTTTTACGTTATACTATACGTAACTTTTACGTAAAATTTAGGTATATTTACGCGAGGGACTACTGTTTATTCGCAACTTTTACGTATAATATACGTAAATTTCAGGGATTTACGTATATTTATCGCATATACGTAAATCTCAATTTTTTGCTTCCCGTATGCGTATATATTTAGTAAAAATTTACGTAAATTTCCCCGATTTTTTACTGTATATAAACGTATATATTAGGTAAAAATTCAGGTAGATATTCCCCGTATTTTACGGTACAAAAACGTATATATTTGATAGAAATTAACGTATATATTTCCCGTAATTTACGGTACAAAAACGTATATTTATTTGATAGTAATTGACCTAAATCTTCCCTATGTTTTCTTTGCATATGCGAATGACTGGTAAAAATTTAATCCAATGTATTCTCTACTTTACTGTGTATAAATGCACATTTTTGGTAAAAAATTTGCATAAATCTCCAACTACCTTTTCACTGCATTTTTCATAAAATGTACTTATTTTAATCTCATATTTTTTATATAAATCTATGCGCAAAACTTTCTGTATGCTATGATTAAAAGGTAAAATAATTTTATATCAATTCTTACATATCTGCCTTTTAGTTATGTACAGCAATATGAGAATATATATAACTGGAAAATTAAATGCACTAGTAAATTAAAAAAAAAAAAAAAAAAATTCTATTAAAAAATTACGTAACACTTAAAGGCTAAAAATGACTTTTAATATTTCATTTCAAAGTGACTACAAAATATGCAATAAATTTCATAAACATTAATTTCTGTGTTTTAAATCAATAATGCTATTGTTCATTTGCATTTTTGTTTACTAAATTATTTCATAAATTTAAATTTAGTAAAAAACTGTAGCAAACAGTTGTTACTAAATAACACTTTAAATAAATTATTTGCTTTTCCGAAGGACATTTCTTATGCCATGTAAATGAACGATAGCATTAATTGATTTAAAACATAGAACTCAGGTTTACAAAATTATTGCATATTTGTAGTCACTTTGAAATGAAATATTAAAAGTGATTTTCAGCCTTTTAGTGTTATGTATTTTGAATAGAAATTTAATTTTTTGCATTTAAATTTTCCAGTTATTATATATTCCATATTGCTGTACATACCTAAAAGGTGGATATGTAAAATTTGATATTAAATTAATTTTAACTTTTAATCATAATATGCAGAACATTTTGTGCATAATTTATATAAAAAAATAAGAGATTAAAATAAGCACATTTTACGAAAATGCAGTAAATAGGTAATTGGAGATTTATGCAAATTTTTACCAAAAATGTGCACTTATACACAGTAAGAGGATAAGACATCGGACTAAATTTTTACCAAAGTCATTCGTATATGCAAAGAAACATAGGGAAGATTTAGGTCAATTATTATCAAATATATAAGTTTGGTACCGTAAAATACAGGGAATATCTACGTTAATTTCTATCTAAGACCAATAGTTAATTAACAAATTCAGTAAACGAATGTAGACAAATAAAAATCATCATGTTAGATTATTGAATGAGTGTGCTAAATTTTAAAATTTAAATATAGACCAGAAAATGTTAGAAACTTACCTTTTCAATAGTTTACCAAGTTGACTTTGTTATTTCCTGAAGATGAATGTTTAATGTCATAAATATTTTATTCATATCTTCAGTAATACACAAATATATACATATTTATTATTAAAATTGAGTTTATCCCAAACATGTTAAGAAAATATTAATTCATGCAAGTTAATCGAGTAACTTCTGTTTTAATTACACACATAATTAGGATATGTAAAA